GATAAAGTGTCTTTTTTTTAAAGATTTATTTATTTATTGGAAAGTCAGATATACAGAGAGGAAGAGAAACAGAGAGGAAGATCTTCTGTCTGATGATTCACTCCCCAGTGAGCACAAGGGCCAATGCTATGCTGGTCCAAAGCCAGGAGCCAAGGAACTTCTTCCGGGTATCCCACATGGGTGCAGGGTCCCAAGGATCTGGGCCATCCTCGACTGCTTTCCCAGGCCACAAGCAGGGAGCTGGATGGGAAGTGGAGCTTCTGGAATGAGAACCAGCGCCCATATGGGATCCCGCGTGCTCAAGGCAAGGACTTTAGCAGCTAGGCCATACCGCTGGGGCCTAAAGTGTCTTTCTAATCTATCCACGTTGCTTTTCATTTTAAACTCCAATGCTTTCATCAGGACTTCATTATTTCGCTTTTGAAACCTTCTGACTGCTTCTATCTTAATCTCTCTGCTTTGATCTCTTACAATCAGAATCCATTCCATTGATATAATCATATTACTTGATGCCTGGAAAATAAACCTCAGACTCCTGAAATATTTGATCAAGAACCTCACTAATCTATTTCCAACCACTTTGGGAGACTTAACTCCTGCCCACACCCTTATTTCTCTAGATTAGGTTATGTACTTTATAGTTTTATGTTCTGGCTCATGGTGTTCGTCAGCCTGTTGTTTGTCATTTTTCCAAAGTTGTTTATCTTTTCAGTCTATGAAATGTGAGTCAAGCAATCTTACACATGCAGGATAAAGATTATGAAATTCATTTGCTGATTCCCTTGGAAGAGTAAAACGGCAAAGTCCTACTGAAGGTCCCAGCACAGCAATAACACCTTCCAAATGACAGCCATAGTCTGTTATCATAGCATGTACCATGGCCATTGCTACTCCTAACAAAGTACCTTTCCAACCAGCGTGAGCAATTCCACATGCTTTTTTGACAGGATCTGCAAAAACTATGGAATACAATCAGCACCAAGGGCTGCTATTGTGACTCCTCTCTGATTTGTAGTTATTCCATCGTAAGATGCAGGTTCCTTCTTCCCACAATCCAGATGTCACTAGCACGATCAGTCAATCCAATAAAATTTCTTCACATTAAATCCCACAGTACTTGCCAATCTACATGGATTTTTTTGAACAACTGCCTTGAGATCTTTCCTTCTGAAACTACTGAAGAGATTGAATGAGCTGTTCTTGTTGTAAATGTATGTGTGAAAATATCTGGGATCAAAGCAGATGTGATAATAGTTAATTCTGCCTTCAGTGCTGACAAACTACTCAGCTACATTTCTATCTCATTCTGGATTTCTTCTCGTTTTTGAGCTGTGGTGATATATTCAGGGGATTGTTGCAAACTCTCCTTCAAAGTCATCTGTAACTCTTCAAACTCAAAATTGGAAACATCAGTGAAGAGGTGGTCTATAAAGGCCTTCATTAATGCTTTCCTATGCAAGGGGACAATGACCTTAAGGCTGCTCGGATTTTTTTCATCAATTATTTTGTTTAATAGTATACCCTGAGGCAGCCATGCTGGGATTGTTAACAGTCTCAAATCCTCTCAAAAGAAGTGATAATCCATCTCTTGTTTCTAAGTCACAATTGTCATGTTCACCATTCTTTAAATAGCTGATGGAACTATAACACATTATGCAGAGGTATTTGGCCTTGGCAGCATGGTTGATTTGACAGCATTCAATGCCTTCAGTAATCTCTGATGGCAGTTTTTTTGAGCAATCAGTTTCTTTTTTTTTTTACATACATATATATATAGTATATACACTATATATATATAGTATATACACTATATATACTATATAGTATCTATATATATATATAGATACTTTATATATATATATATATATATAGATACTTTATTAATTACATTGCATTGTGTGACACTGTCTCACAGGCTCTGGAAATTCCCCAACCCCTCCCTGTACCTTCCCCCCATGGTAGATTACTCCACTTTGTTGCCGTGTTACAGTTCAAATTCAGTCAAGATTGTTTTGTTTGAAACATATACCAAGCAAAGAGTCCAACATCTTATTCTCCAGATAATTTCAATGGTTTCTTGTGGAGACCTCCTCTGGTCTGCAGGCAGGGCTGGCAGAATATCATCCCGATCAATTTAAAGCCACAACATAACATCAACAACAATTTACAACATTATGGAATTAATGGACATGGTGTTGAGTAACCACTATATTAAAAAACTACAAGTTCTTAACCACATTCTGTGACTACTTTATTGACATTTCAGTTTTAGTATATTAACTACCGGCTTCTATCCACGTTAAAATAGCTATAGGGTACTATTCAGCTGTCTCATTTCTATTTCCATTTTAGTATTTAGCAATTTATAGTGTTGAAGCCTCATTCTACTGAACTTGGGAGATTTTAGGATAGTCTAAACTGGGTTATATCTCTCACAAGGCATATGTCAACAATTGAGGTATAGAACAGTTTTAGGAGGGGTGTGCAGAGAAATCTTCAATACCTTAGTGAGGAGTAACTAGTCTTTGTGTCCTAACTAGGAAAGTATGTGTGAGTCCATGCTGACCATTTCCTGTTTGGTTATAAGCTTTCCTTGTTGCTATCCGTCTATCTATTCTAGTGTGTGTGTGTGTGTGTGTGTGTGTGTGTGTGTGTGTGTGTGTGTGTGTTTTGGCAGGGGTGCTCCAGAGTGACCCTGATGGTCTGTGCAAGAGAGGGTGGGGATCCAAAGTTGGAACTAAGTAAGGACAAGAGAAAGCTCCTCTCCCTAGTCCCAAAGGAAGTTAACTGTTCTGTTCATGCGGACCACTCAGAGTTCCTGGCTGTTGTTCTGAAGACCCTGGATCTTGCAAGGAAGGATTTGGGCTTCTTTCATCCCATGTGGTAGGTCCAAAAGAGGGTGGATGTCTCAGAGTTTTCAGCCTCCAAAGGCACTCCAATTCCCTGTGGTCTCCTTGGCAGTTGGGATATAGTCCTTGGTGCCTGTACTGCTAATCCTTGGTGAGGATCCGGGAGTCTCCAGTGTTGGGATACTAGCCTCCTCCTGTCCCCCTGCTCCAATCTGGGGTCCCCCCCTGCTCTGTGCATATGATCTCCTTTTAAGAGGTTGTTAGGATTGCTCTTGATTCTCCCTTATGTCTTTGCAGTTTTCCTATTGTCTAATGCTGATTTGAATCTGTTGTCTATAAGTTACCTGTTATGATCTTGATAGGTTATACTTCACGTTTTCCTCACACATTCTAAGGAGAAGGAAGATTTCTCTGCTCTCCCGCCCCATTTCTGAGTAGCATAGGGTGTTAAAACTATATTAAGTTTTACCATTTTTTGATGTAGATCATAAAGAGTCTGACTCACATTGATTGTTGATTCATTGGTTACATCACAATATCTTATTGCATGAGATACAGGCTGTTTGGGGCTGAAATAATATTAGAGTTTACAGGTACTGTTTTTCGGATTAACATCATTTCAGGTTAAATTAAGGCAAACATGTTATCTAACCTTTTTTGCTCATTTCTCTTAGCCATAATGGTTTCAAGTTGGGCCCATTTGGCTACAAAAGGCTGCATTTCATTTTTTGTCTGTTTGTTGTTTCTTTAATAGCTGAGTAGTATTCCATGGAGTAATTGAACCATAGCTTTCTTATCCAGTCAAAACACAAATTCAGGGCCCGGCGGGATAGCATAGTGGTTGAAGTCTTGGTCTCACACATGCCAGGATCCCATATGGGTGCCGGTTCTAATCCCAGCCACCCCGCTTCCCATCCTGCTCCCTGCTTGTGTCCTGGGAAAGCAGCAGAGGATGGCCCAGAGCCTTTTGACCCTGCACCCATGTGGGAGACCTGGAGGAGCTCCTGGCTCCTGGCATCAGATTGGTTCAGTTCCAGTCATTGTGGCTGCTTGGGGAGTGAACCATCAGACGGGAGATCTTCCTCTCTATCTGCTCCTCTGTATATCACCTTTCCAATAAAAATAAATAAACTTTAAACACACACACACACAAAGTCAAACAAGAAGAATGAATTGCATTGTGAAGGCTGAATCCTAATTTAGACTTGAACCTCGACCTATACATTTTCAGTAGGCTCAAAATCAGTCAATTAATGTAACAACTATAAGAAAAAATCCATAAGAGTAGTCCTGGACTCAGTCGTTTCATCTAGGGATTTTCAAAGATTTGTCTGAAGCTAGCACTGAGCACAGCAAATTAAACCACAACTTGTAACACCAGCATGGAATACGAGTGTAAGTTTTCGTCCTGGTGGTTCCTGTTTGCTAACATAGCTATGCTTGCTACAGAAGATGCTCTCAGTGCATGCCACTCTATTATGCATGAGAGTAACCTGGTTAGAGTTCTATGTTTTTCGACCTTCACCTTGAAGCAACACTGGTTACCATGGTCTTATGGTATCAAAAGAGTAGAAGGAATTTCTGACCTTTGACATGCTTTTTATTAAATGGAAATATTTAAATTGCATGATGTGCTTTATTTGCTTGAAGACAATTGGAAAGATCTATCACACACTCAGCACTCCCCGGATAACCACAATGCCTGGTTGTGGACCGGCCAGCACAGAAGGAGGGGACCCAGTCTGGGTGGCCCACACAGGTGGCTACGGGAGCCATCATCTGCTACTTCCCATGTTGGCAGCAGCAGAAATTTGAAGTGGAAATAAAGCTGACATGTGATTCCAGGCACTTTGATCTGGGATGCAGGTGTCCTGGGATACATCTTAACCACTATGGCAAATTCCTTCATTCTCTCTTTCTGAAAAAAAAACATATTTCTAATTCTGAAAAAATATATAGGATATGTTATAACCTTAAAGAATGGTAAAGTGACAGAGGAAAGTGACATTTTTTTGAGAAATACTTTCTGTGACACATTGAATGTCAATGAAGTTTGAGGAAAGAATTGTGACTCTATATTCAGCTAAAGCATATAAACTAATAAAAATGGAGAAGAGAAGATGGTTCCATCAGTGGTGATTTCAGAAAGGGTGCAGGAAGCATTCTGCATCATCCAAGCTTGACCAAATGAAGAGCGGGGCTCTTTAAGAGGCCATGACACCCTCCACATTCTGATACTGCTATGGCAACTCCAGATTGTTACCTGCCACTGGACCCTTCCTCCCACCCTCAGAAACATCACCACAGGCAGTGGCATTCGCTTAGGGCTCTGGCAACTTCATCCTTGTTTATCTGATTAAGAACTCTCATTTATTGAAGGGCACAAAGTGATTCTCTACAGTAAGTTAAGGGTGACAGCTATTGTCATCCATGACTCCTTCTTAATTAAGCTCTTTGACTTTGTTTGTTTGAAACATCATGTGCTGTTTTCTCTAAACCTAGATCCTGGATTAATGACTGCCAGAACCATCAGCATGGCAGCATGTTCCAGTGCTCCAACAGCTCCAGGGATAGAAATGAACCTCCTAGAACACCAGATCTTGTCCTGCTAGCTGGCCAACACTCTACAGGAGCTTGAAGATCTCAAGGAAAAGCTTCTTCCATCTGAGCCTACTGCCTATGCCCTGGACAAGCAGCTACAAAACACCGTAAGTTCTGGAGAGGATGGGTGATTGTATTTCTTCTGAGAGATGAGATGAGGTGTAGGTTAGAGCTTGGGTTAAAATCCCTGCTACTGAATCCTAGTACAGACACAAAGGAGCTTGTTTATCGGAGGAACAGGTGGAATGCTCTTGTGTTGGGATCCTCTGTGTACTGCAGGAGATTGTGTAGACATGTAATATCATGGTGGTCTTCATGGCAGTCTGTTCAATATTGGAAGAACAAATGGCACAACACTGAGCTTGTGACACTAATGGAAACTTGGGTAATCGGCACATGATTTCAGTTTGAAAATAAAATGAAAGTTTGATCTTCTCTGACACACAGAGGTAAAAACATTGATGATGTGCAAACAGCATGGTTGGGGAAGTCCTCCTCCTGGAGCCCAGGTTTGTCTTCGGATCCCTTCAATGTCAGTGCAGCCCTTGTTTGAGGGTGTGCTTCTGGGACTTAACACACTCTCTCAACATCCTCTGTTTCTACATTAGTGAAGACACTTTGGGGATGCAGGATGGAGAGCATGTCAGGGTCCACCTTGATTCCCAGGAACACAAGGGCATGCACAACAGGTGGATAGTGGCATCTGTCTAATTACGAGTCAGCCAGAGTCATTCCTACAGTTTTCTTACAAGAAGAACTCTTGAGGGAATAGATTCATTACTAGGTTTGAATCAGAATATGGAAAAAGTAAATGAAGAAATGTATTCTGAGTAGAGATAAGCTCTGTTTGACTAATAATCTATTTTCAAAATCTCACATGTGAATGGTTTTGGAGGTGAAGAAAATGCAGGTAACAATGGGATTCTTTTCTATGCTAACACTGTGCAGAGAGCAGGAGTGCTGGCTGGTCTCCTGCTCTCTGGCCAGGTTTCCATCTCCTCTGTGTCTCAGTGTGTTCCTGTCTCTATATCTTATAGAGCAGCACCCACCTCTCTGAGCCAGAGTGAATTCATGATGTCATACAGAATTAATGGGGCACTTCCTGTGGATAGCGTTGAATAGTGTCTGACACATGTTGGATTTTGATAGGAAATCAATCAATGTATTGTTTCTTTCAGACATGTGTGGTCTAAAGACATAATATATTTGTGTATACACATGGGTTTTGCTTTGTCTTTGATATTTTGGTGTATGTATTTTGCAATGTTTGCACACAGGCCCTTCACCGGTATCATCCTCTGGTGTTTGCCAGGAGCCTCATGCCCAAGCTCAGCATTTGAATTGCAATGTGTTAAGCTGGTGAAGAGGCCCAAGTCTCACATTCTCACTGTAAGGGTTAGGGTTGGCTCTGACAAACATCCTTTGTGTCATGCTAGGTAGTTTCTTCCTGGACTTTAAGCTTCCATTTGCTCATCTTCTCCAGGTGATCTACTAATTCTATATACTTGGGTCAGTGAGAAACAGACATGGAAGTTTGTTAGCAGTGTATGTCCAAGCTAGGATGGACCCTGGTTCCATGGCCAGGACCTCAGCAGCATGTGCAACACTCATTGAGTCAGGTGGGTCTGTGTTTTCTCAGAATGTGAGCTGTGCAAAGTCATCATGCAGCCTGTGCTGGGGGAGAACATCCAATGTGAGGAGGAGCAGCTGGCAGAGAGCCCACCTGTCACCAAGAGGCTGAGGTAAGGACAGGCAGCAGGTTCAAGCTGAGGAATCTCTGGGGTGGGCAGTGTAGCCAATGGAGCTGACAGAGCTACACTCTCTCCCAAAGTGACTTTTTCCCAATTGCTGTAGTTTTCTGGTTCTGTTAGGGCCATATGGAGTGTGAACAGAGGGGAGATCACTATGTACAACCCCCTTCTTTTTCCCAGGAGAAAGAAATTTCTGCACATTCTTTTGAAGGCCTAACAGCCAGTCCTCCACTGACTTCCAACTGTGAATCTTCCCTTCTATTCCACATTAGGGAATTCAATATCTCACTCCATCCTCACACAAGACAACTGAGACAACTAAAGCAGAAGCTACAGGAACAGAGAGATGCCTCCATCTTACTCCTTCAGCATCTCAAAGATCTGCTCACAGTGGACAGCCCTGAGAGCTGCCTGAACCAGGGCCTCTGGGATCGACTTTCTCAGGGACATCATCTGGCAGAGCACCGTGCCCACAAGCTCAGCCAAGGTACTGTCCGAGGAAAGGAGGGAAGACCTGCTAGGACAGAGGCTGGGGAACTCCACCCTCTTCTTTTTTTCCTGAGGGGAGGATAGCATTGGAAAGTCAGCAGTGTCCTCAGAGGAGGCTGTGACAGGAGGAGCTTCCTCGCAGGGAAGGGACCTGGGCTAACCAGGAGGGCTCCCAGGTCTGTGCTCACACTGACTTCAGAGAAGGCATTCAGTGACTTCCTCTGCCTGCATTTCTGGTCTGTCATCTCCTCAATGGTTAAAAACATGCTGCATAACAGTTGTAGCAGTCAAACTGGAAGTATTTGTGAATGTGCTATAAGCAGACAGAAGTCACTCTCTGGGGCTGGCTGAGAGATAGATGGGGTGGGATCTGAGGTGAGATGTTGGATGCTGTACAACCATGACTGAGCAGACACAGGTCTGTGGGGGTGTGCATAGCAGAATGGAGAGTTGGATGGGCACTTTGTGGGTCAGGGCAATTCTTTCTTTCAGGAACCAGGAGTAGGTTTTCCCTGAGAGGCATGTGGGAATATTGAGCTATGAGCCTGGGACCCAGCTGTGTGATGGGAAGGGGGATAGAGCAGCAACCGAGAACAGGGCTAGAGAAATATTTCTTAGGATGGCACCTTGTGCCCCTTTGAAAGACTCACCCAGTTCCATGGCAAGGAGCTGCAGGATGTATCAGATGATGTGACTGTGCTGAAGGATGAGAGTGACAGTGAGTATGCTTGTTCAGAGACAAACGTGGAGCCTTCTCTGGTCACAGCCATTGTGCTCCTCTAGGTGGAACTGCAACTGTCCAGTGTGTGAGTGACTGTTTCTGAATTTGTTTGTAGATGTTCATGACCATCTGAAAGAGCAAGAACAATGATCCCTGGCATTTCTGGCCCTCAGGTAACACACAGGGAACAGGAGGAGTCATGGACAGGTGAAATGTGAGAGGTTCTGGGAAGGAACTGCTGTGGGTTCAGAGGTATCCACATTCCTTGGGGAGCATGCAGACAATCTGCTCGCCAAAACTGCTTCATTCCCTCTGCACGTCTACAGCCTCTGTGCTCTCTGGAGTTGGTGCCTTCTGCCTGGCCCTGAGTGACCTATCCAGGCCCTCACACTGCAGTCATTCTCACTACCTTCGGTGAAGTTTACACACTGAGTCAGGTGCATGGCTTTCTTCTGTATGGTTCACCTTAGCTTGTCAGCAGGTGCTCATTGCTGGGAAAGCCAACAGGCAAGGTTGCTGTTGCCGCCTCCTCAAGGGTGGAGTGAGAGACCTGGACATCACTGTGACTCTAACATCTCTAGCAACACAGGGGCCTGTGGTCACTCGACCATGCCTGTCAGTCAGGTGCCTAAAGAGATACAACAGGCAGAACTCAAAATTCTGAGTCAGAATCACACTTGGAAGGACTTTGTGGATGCTCTCACTCATCTTTGTCAATGTCATCATCACTAGCTTTACTCCTGTTCCACTCTGGAAAGTTCGGGTATCCAACCTAGCAAATTCTGATTGTGTCTTCTGCTCTTCCCCATGTCTATAGTGTCAACAGTGAGCAGCCTGAGAGGCAAGTGAATGATGTCCTATTAGATTCATCAGCTAAGAGGTATTTCCCACCTTATCATCACATTATGTCCATGAATTTAAAGACTCTCTCTGCATGTTTTCTGCTTGATAATCCGGAATTCAGGTGTCAATTTTATCCATGCAATGGACATTCACCAGAGCAGGGCACAGTCCCCTTCCAGGTTGAGTGAGGAGGAAATCATGCAAGAGGCATACAGAGAGTTTTAACAATGGAGAAGGAACAAGTCAGGGGAGAATTTGGAGGTCTTCACACTAGTGACACCATTGATGGAGTGAACCCAGGACAGGATGAGACCAAGAGATTGCTTGAATGCAGATGCTGACAATCTGATAGAACAGAAACAAAATACCAGGGCATGTGTAAGGAAAAGTGAACAAGCAAGTTGAGAAGGAGGTTGTATGCAGGGGCTGGTGAGAGCAGCAGCCAGGAGCAAAGAGCAGGCATTGTAACACCTCACGGCTGTGCCTGCCCTGGCTGGAAGGTGGAAGTGGAACTTCCACTGAGCCTATTCTTGAAGAAATACCCTCAGCTTTGTATGTCAATATTACTAACTTGGACCAATATCACTTCAGATAGGACATGCACACCAATGGGTCTGAGGGCTGCAGTTTTCTTTTCAGAACTGTGATTGGATGCTCCCTTTCTATTGAAGATTCCTCGCAACCTGCAGGGTGATGCTCATGAACGCTCACACACTAGCAGCCACGAGTGTCGTGTCTTTGACCACCTGATGATGAAAGGAAAGCTGCAATCAAGGAAAGTGGAAAGCATCGTGCAGAATCCCAGTCTTCCAACCTAGGATGCAGAGGTAATCAGTCCTTTGTTCTTAGATTCACTGGTAGTAATGCCCTTAGTACATTGCTCCTCCTTCTCTCTGCTGTCTCCATCAGCTGATGCAACCTCTCTCTGGACTTACCCCAGTGGCCCATAGGCTGCCACTCTGCCAGCCCCTTTCTCTACATCTCCTGTTGTCACCTTGACCTCTGCTGTCTTCTCAATTCCGAGGCCAGAAGTTCCTCTGCAACTCCAGGCCACAACCAGCCCCACTAGTGCTCATTTTCATCCACATAGCAGCCTGAGAAGTGAAACATTATCATCTCGTCTACAATCATACACTTCCTTTTCCTTTACTCTCCCTTCCCTGGTCCTCAGCTCCATTGTCTCATTCCTCTGAAGGCATTGACTTCAGAAATCACTTACCCACGAGTGTTCCCTCTGGGCCTCCTTTTGGAAGTATCCCACAGGCAGGCACTTTGTTATAGATAGGAAGCAGAAGTAAAGTCCAGAGAAACAAAAATGTTGTAGGTTGACTCTGTTCAATCTGAAAACCAACCCTTTACTCCACAGAACTTCCTGGTTCTGGCTATTGAGAGTATTCCTAGAAACACCACAAGGCATAAGCATTTGTAGAATCAACTGCAAGGATTTAGGAGAGAATGCTGGGCCAGGGTTATATTTCCTACTCTCTTGATTCCGTTTGAATCTCACCTTTTCTTTCATTCTGAGGCACATTTGGAGGAGGTTGAAAACACACAAGCATGGTTATTAGGGTCTCTGAAAATTGCCTACTTCATGGTAGGCAGATAATATCCTTCAGATTATATCCTTCCTCCAAGCTTTATGGAAGTGACCTACATACAGCCGATGTGCAAACACTAGATTATCATTAGCACACCATGTGGCCCTGAGTAATATCAGCTCCATCCTCCTCTTTCCCTAAAGTCAGAAAGGAGCTTGGATGGTGTCTCCAGTCCCTGCTGACTTTCTTGTCTTCGGTTTCTGCCATGGCTTGTCCACACGGCCCTCAGAGACTAGGAGGTGGAGCTGAAACCAAGTTTGTATTCTCCTCTCCCCTAGAGCTCACTTCCTTGCCTGGCCTCAGTCACACTGACAAAATGCCCATCTCATAGTACCTGCAGAAGATTCTCATTTGGTTTTTCTCTTTTTCTCTCAGATACCAAAGATTGCTGCAGTTATGAAAGGATACTGCAAAGATATATACCCAAATGTGCTGCAACAGTCAAAGAAAAAATATAAAAAATATTGCAGATATATATGCCCAAATGCGCTACAACAGTCAAAGAGAAAAAAAAAATACACAAAACATCAATGCAAACAGAACAATAGAAATGAATTTCAATATCACATTCCACACTTAGCAATTGATATTCCCACAGGCAGGTTGGAGGAAGGCCATCAGAGTCCATCAGCCTCCACCTGGTTAAACACCTAAGCAGACCAAGGCCCAGAGCCTCAGACTGTTGGGAGTCTTTAACTCTCATTGCCATCCTGCCAAGAAGCAGCATCAAGACCAGCTGCACTGTGACAACAGCCCCACTGGACATGCGCTGTCTCCACATGGGATGCTGCAGGAGCAGTCAGGAATAAGGATGCAGTGCTCTTGATGAAAAGGTTTACCTGGAGGGAATCATGAGGAGATGACCTGAAAACAGGAGAATATAGACCATTGATTGAGACATTTGACTTGACATGTCTCCTTCAAGGAATAATGCAACAAAAAGAGGAGAGAAGGCTATTTTGGACTTAAACAAAATATGAAAATTGACTGCTGTGGTGCTTTTAGTGACTACTGAAACAAATGCACTTCCTCCCTTTTTTGTTGCATTGATGGTCATGACAGGTCAAATTTCTGGCTCAGTGGTTTATATTCTGGACTTTTCAAGCATAATTCTTCATGATTCCTTTCAGGTGAGACAGTTAAGCAAGAACACTCCATCCTTAGTCCCAGGTGCTTCTACCCCAGCCCATGTGGAGGCAGAGAGTTCAGTGTGTCCATCGTTGTTGTCAGTTGGTTAGGCAGGAGACTAACAGATGTGTCCTTTGGGAAGTCACACCGTGGTGTCCGTGATGAAGAAACCACGGGAGTGTTCAACTGAGAATATACAGCATCTCATTCTGCATTTGTCTTCCTCTGACGACTTTAGAATTTATCAGACACCAATGCCTGTGGTCATTCAGATATTTTGTTCATTTCTGGCATTTGTTTGGAATCAATACTAGCATGAGTCTTAGATTGGCTGGTAAAGTGCTTTGAACAACAATATTTGCTTTCAAAATGTTAATGCTAACCAATATTTTTACACTACAAAAAATAAGACCAATTCTCAAACGAGAATTTGAAATGTATTCCAAATTGTCTCCATTCGTGAAAAAGTACATTTCTTTCTCAGAATTTTCATATGAATTATTATTGTCATATGCCAGCAAAAGAACTCTGGTCTCTAGAAGATTCAGCTTAACCAAAATGGTCTTTGACTATGGAAAAGAAGCTCATTTGAACAATTGTAGTGTTAATCCTAATCATCATCTCGCACAAAATGCAACTTTCCTTTCTAGAATGTCAACCATAACCAAAACTTCCTACAGCTATGGAAACCTCTGCTCTCCCAAATTTAACTTCATTCATGAAAATTATTTGCTGCCTGATAACAGCTCTCCTTTCTTTCAAGCAATTTGACCTTGACCAAAATTTTCTACAACCATCCTAAAGGACACTCCTTCCAACCCTTTAAATGTTAAGCAAAACCATACTGTGTGACAAAGAACAGCTCTCCATTCAACAATTTCAAGCTTCACCAATTTTTCCAACAGTTGTAAAATCTGCTCTCCTTTCCAGAAATGTCCTGTACATCCAAATTGTCTTCTGCTGTGAAAAAAACTCTCCTTTCTAGTTGTCGTACCTAACCAAAACGATCCTCAGCTTTCCAAAGAACACTGCTTTCCAATGTTTGATCACTAATCCAAATTTATTGTGTGACAAAAACAACTCTCCATTCTAGAATTTCAATCTTCAACAATTTCCTACAGCTATCAGAACTGATTTCCAGAATCTAAACATCCCCCCAACCTCTTTTCAAATATATAACAATCCTTGCTCCATGTTCAAACTTGACCTTAACATTCTTCATCTCTGAACAAGGACACTCATTCCAAAAATTGTGATGTTCATCAAAACTTTCTTCTACTGTAAAAACAATTCTGTTTTCTAGTATTTCAACATTAACTACAATTCCCTCTAGTTAGGACAACTTCTCCTGTTTTCCAGAAATTCTGTGTTAATCCAAAGTATGCTCTACCATGAAAATGACTCTCATTCTACATGTTTAACCTTTACTGAAAAGTCTTCAGCTCAGGGAAGGGACACTCCTTCCTAGCTTTTTAATGTCCAGCAAAATGTATTGTGTGACAAAGAGCAACTCTCTTTCTAGAATTTCAACTTAACCAAAGTTTCCTATAGCTTCCAAAACTTGTCTGCTCTCCTGGAGCTTAACTTTAACCAATATTTTCTTCTGCCATGAAAACGTCACTCCTTTCAGAAAGTGATGTTGATCAAAACGCTCTGCTATCACAAAAAAAGTCCATTTTCTGGAAGGTTTACCTTCACCAAAGTTTTCTTCAGCCTCCAAAAGGACACTCATTGCCAGAACTTAATTCATACTCAAGATTTTCTGCAGTTTTGGAAAATATCTCTGTGTTCTTCATTATGAATATCAATTGACTATTCTCAGATGATTTAAAACTAGTCTGCCTGCTGGAACTTTATCTTTACTGAAATGTCCACAATATGACAGCATCTCTCCGGATTTTTAACTTTAATACAAAATTTTCCTCGACTATGACAAAACATTCCCGTCAGGATTTTCATGTGAACCAAAACTTTCAATCGCTAAAAAAATAAAAAAACAAAAAACCCCAAAACACAAAAAAAAAAACCATAAAAAATTTCTCTCCTTTCCATACCTTAGTCAAAACCAAACTTTTCAAATATAAAAGCAAGTCCTCTTAATTTTAACTTGATGCAACTTTTCCTCAAGTATTATAAAGAATATGTTTCTCAGAAATTTTAGCAGGAAATAAAGTTTTCTTCTGGTACAAGAAAACAATTCTGATTTCTAGAAATTTAGCTTTCACCAAAGCTTTTCTTAGCTGCAAAATATAAATACACAACTTTCTAGAAATTGATACTTGTCAAATTTTTCTTCTGCTTTGAAATACAAATTGATTTTATTGAACACCATTAAAATTTCTGATTTATGACTTTGGACTTGCAGTGTTTTTATTTGTTCAGTTCATCACCATTACATAGTCAATTTTGAGAAAATTGCAAGCCTGTTGGGGACTGCCAGGAGAAGGCTGGGGTTGTAGGGATGTGAGGTCCCACAAGGGAGGCTCGGGAGAGACAGGACCAGTCCTGGCACACCTAGGGCTGTGTTGCTGTGACAGCTTGAAGGGGAATCTCCCCTTGAGGCACAGGTCAGCCTAGAGCTCAGGCAGTGACAGAGGAGAACTACCCTGGCCATTGGCGCAGCAGATTGCAAGAGAAATCACACTGGACATAAGTGTAGAGTGTTAAGAAGTGTATTCACTGGCAATCTAGGCAACTGCAGCTCCTGCTACATCCAGGAACCACGGCACAGTAAGGGATATTAAAGCACTCATCCTTCAGTCCACTTGAAATCTGTGCAGTACAATATTTTGGAACAGTCCAAAACAGTTAACTAAGGCAAGAGGCAGGAAGGTAGCTGCTAGAGCCCCAGTGTTTCCCTGTAGTTAATTAACCTAAAGTAGCATGCTAGGAGGCAGGAAGGACCAACTATCAAAAAATCTCATGCCATTTTCACCCCGTCAAATTAAACGGACACATCTATTCAATCAATTAACCAGGGAAGCAGGCCCTGTCTATCAACTTATTGCACCCCATCACATTGGTTGCTGGAGATGGTTGGTACGGATGGACGCTGAATTCTGTATAAATACAATTCCATGGAGAGTTGTTCATGACTCATGATGGGTGCTGAGAGAAGTGAGACGTTCTGGTTTTGTGGGTGGAGCTCAAGGGGCAGTGCATGCAGTGCTGGCCCAGCCTGTGTTTCCCTGGGCTGTTGCTGCTGCTCAGCCTCCTCACCCCTTTATCATCCCTTCTCCCAGCCACTGAAGCACTTGTGTCCATCCTCCTGCCAGCTGCTAGGACTAGTGCCCTAGCCCCTCATGACCCTCTCCAGGCCCAATTATGCAAGCGTCGGAGGAGCAAAGGGAGCTAATTGTCATTTAGGTCTGGTTATTCAATGGGACTCCCAATCCCTGCAAAGCTTGACACTTCATGGGACTCACCAGACAGGAAATAAAACATCCTACTCTGGGGAGCTGGACAGGGAGGTGAGGGCTTCCTGTGGATCAAGTGCCAGGAGAGCAGAGGGAGTTCAGGTTCCCGAGACTCAGGATCCTGGAACAGCCTCAGCCTTGGGGACCAGTCATGTCCAACAGTGACCCAGCACAACTCTCACCCTGATACTTTCCACCTCACTGCCCTATTTGCTTTCCTCTGCAAAAAGTGTGTAAGATAATGACAAATCAATACCTCTAAGAAGCACAGATGTAAAAACCCTAAGAATGTAATAGTATAAACCCAACAGCAAAAACAATATTTAAACATTTGAATAAGTGGGTTAAAGTTACAAATGATAGGTTGTTCAGCATTCAACTTACTCTAATTATTTAAAAAGGAAAAAAAAATACCCATGATAACATTTCGGTAGATGAACAAAATAAAGTGTTAGCTCTCATATTAAGTAAAACAACTTTAAAAAGTTTTCTTTGTAGAATGAATTTAAAATGTTCTTTCTTTTAGAAGTCAGACTTAGGGAGAGCAGGAGGGATAGAGAGGGAAACATCTTCTATGTGTTGGTTCACTCCCCAAATGGCTACAAAGGTCAGCAAATATTGATCCCAAATGAGGACTCAAAAGCATCTTAAAGTCTTCCATTTGGAAGCAGAGTCGCATGGCTTTGGGGCTATCCACACTGCCTCTCTTTGACATGGCAACAGGCAAGGAGCAGGCTTGGAAGTAGAGCATCAAGACACAAACCAACCAGGACCCATATGGGATATCAACACTTGGGTGCAGAGGATTAGCATCTAGAGCTAAGGCACCTACCCCTAAATGATTTTTAAATGATGACCTAATAGTGTTTGAGATCTAGTATTTAACCAGATTTACTCATGTATTGAATGAACTGTGAGAAAGGGAAAAGTCAAGCTTTCAGAAATGTTTCCTGTTCACCTGGGTTGGTTGACTGTTGTGTTGTCTTGTTACACAAATTCAGTGCTCCTGTGTGTTTATGCATATTGCAGAAGAGAATCCTTTTAGTTTCCTTGCAGTGCAGAACAAATCACACTCACTCTCTTGGTGCACAACTCCACCACCAAGTAGAACTAAAATGAACAGGTCAGAGCTTGGCCAAGGGGCTCCACACGTGGACCTCTCATTGGGGTGCAGAGGGTAGGACATGAAGGAAGGTGAGTGGGACATGTTTTAGTCCTCTTTTTTTTTCCATTAAGTGTCTGTATGGGAGAAGAGGTGAGGGAGGCACCATGCTGTCAAACTACTTCAGCGATAGTGGATTGAACATGGTCTTTTAGTGATGCTTAGATCCCAATGTTGCAAAGAGTATTCTGAGGGTC